ACACCTGCTGGCCAAGGCAATGCAGTTCTGTTTTCAGCCCTTATGGGCTTTTGGAAGACTGTGTATTCTCACTCCAGCTTCTGGGATTTGTATCTCGAAAGGACAACACATCAGCCCATTAATAGCTGTGTAGGGTTGAAATCTATCTCTGCAAGCCAGACAAATTCAATTTACAATAAATATGTTTCCATTGTCTTGGATGTTGCTATTTCCCACACGTAAGGCACATAACAATTTCTACTTTTCAGTTCCTGTTTACCCCCGGTTGCTGCCTCTGGGCTGGGTTATCCTCATGCCGTGTGTAATTGTGGTTTAACGAAAATTTTGAGTTGTATTCTTTTGTACCTGCTTTAGAAGAGCAAAGGCAGGGACTTGTTTTTGTAGATAAATCAGACCAGATTAGGTGAGAGGTATCATTTGTCAAATGCAAAGAAGTTATGCGATTTGCCTAATGGAATTCTCTGTTGCTATTCAAGTTTGTTCCTGCTTCATTGCTGATGGCTTATGTTAGTGAGTAGCCTTATCTGCTTCCCTCTTCCCTTCAGAGATTGGCACCATGTTCCCAAACTTGTTTCCTAATAACAGGACCTTGTCATTGCCTTTCAGAAGCAGCTCAAACATGAAAAGGATCTATTTCAAAAGTAACTAAGATTCCTCTGAAATATGTTAAGTGCAAAGCACTTAGGTAATTACCTGTATCTTTTTGAAAGTTACTGGAAAGAAATGTAGTGAACATAACATTGGTAGCATCTGTTTTGGGTTGGCTTTCTCTGAGAATATTTATTTTGTACTGAGAAATGCATAATTTAGCATGTCCTTATTCTTCTCTTGATTTGGAAATTACAGAATCTAATTTATACTTACAGAATCTCATTTATATATACCTTATATAACCAGGTAAGGTTTCAAAGTTAGGGTTTTGAAGTTGTCCTATTGATGATCCTAGCTTTGTTTATTTATGTGGATCATGTATTCTACGTTCATGTATATAAATGCATAATACATGAAAATTGCATCTTTCTCACTGAGCATAGTACTTGTAGTCTCATAAAAGAAAGGTTAAAGAATAAATTGGCCGGGCAGTGGTGGCCCACACCTTTAATCCCAGCACTTGGGAGGCAGAGACAGGTGGATCTCTGTGAGTTCGAGGCCAGCCTAGACTACCAAGTGAGTTCCAGGAAAGGCGCAAAGCTACACAGAGAAACCCTGTCTCAAAAAACCATAAATAAATAAATAAATAAATAAATAAATAAATAAATAAATAAATAAATAAAATTAATTAACTGCTTACTAATTAGTATTAGGTATTACAAAGTGATACTTCTAATCATTGAATAGCTCTGCTAAATAGAATTATTCAGCACAATATGTCACATATTCATGGAAGTATCAATTTCATTGTGGAGTATAATCTATAAATTCTATTGCACAGAAAAATAAACTATTATTATTAAAATAATCTTAATATTTAGAAGGTATAGTAGCTTATTGATGTTATTGCTGTTATGCTTTCAAGAAACAGCTTAACATGTACTGTTACATATGCATGATATGCATGTACTCACACAAGTGTATATATAACAACACCTTCATTAAGACATGATTATTTATAACTTTTAGTTTCATCAACTGTCTTTTTTTCTTTCAAAAACTAAATAGGCAAGAGGTAGAATGAAGAAAGTGTGCTTTTGCTGGCCAAAACCTAGAATGACAGAGAAAAATATGGTAACAACAGTGGTCAAGTCAGCTGCATTGAGTTACAATAGGTGTAACCCAATCTAAAAGTATACCATTGCTTTTCCTTTTTACTTCTGCATTTTCTATTTCATTCTAGAGCTCCTGTTCAAGCAACACTACTTGTTTTAAGGAGAAATACTAGTGATATGCTATGAGTTTGCAAGGAACTATTTGAAATAAGCTCCTAACTAGGAATGCATTTACTTTCTATTTTTTTTCAAGGTAGTTAATTCAATGCAGGACTCTCAGCTTAATATGTTTCCCTATTTTAAAAAGAAGAAAGAAAGAAAGAAAGAAAGAAAGAAAGAAAGAAAGAAAGAAAGAAAGAAAGAAAGAAAGAAAGAAAGAAAGAAAGAAGATAGGAAGGTAGAAAAGAAAAAGAGAGGAAAGAAAAGAAGGAAGAGAGGGAGAAAGGGAGCAAGGGAAGAAGGAAGGAAGGAAAGAAGGAAGGAAAGGAGGAAGGAAAGAAGAAATGAAGGAAAGTTCCCACTTCTAAAAATAATAAACTTGTAACTCAAAAACAAAACCAAAGAAAAACTACATTAACTGCTATCTTACAATAATTGTTTTCAATATATAAAACATTTCCCTGTAGCATTCCACTTTCATTAATTAAATAGATTTTTGGTATCCTGTAGCTGCTAGTATATAGAAATGTGTTTGATTTCAATGTCCTTTGATTAATACTAGGGAATCACACTCATAAATATATTTCCTTAGCTAACAACTTTTCTAAAGTTAAATGATTTCATAAGAAAAAGTGAAGCTTAGCAGCAGAAAATTTAAAAAAATAGTTAACTATTTAATTGTCTTGTTTAAATGTGTGATATTGGCCGGGCGTTGGTGGCGCACGCCTTTAATCCCAGCACTCGGGAGGCAGAGGCAGGCGGATCTCTGTGAGTTCGAGGCCAGCCTGGGCTACCAAGTGAGCTCCAGGAAAGGCGCAAAGCTACACAGAGAAACCCTGTCTCGAAAAACCAAAAAAAAAAAAAAAATAAAATAAAATAAATGTGTGATATTACCTCTGGTATAGATATAATCTTTCATTTTCTTAAAATTTATAAAGGGTGAAAAATTTAAGATGTCTTTCTCAAGATGCTCTATTCAATAAAAGGGTCAAGAGTCATAAAGCAAATACAAGCCTCAAAATTAAAGAACAAAGCATGTATCAGTGGTAGAGAATTAAATAAAATATACACAGGGAAATGCTACACTGAAAATAAAACCTTTAATTTGTCAACTGCATATTTTGTGTTAAAGCTGCAGTTAAAACAAATTCATTTTTTTTACAATAAAGAAATATTCTTTTTAGATCTTAAATATAGTCCTCTGACATGACTTTGGGCATGAAAGCAATAACAGGAGTCTTGCTGATTGCTTTAATCTTACATAATTGGTAGCATAATAAAGACAGAAATTATTAACACCAATCTTTATTTTCCACTAACGGCATAGATATTTTTATTGAAGGCATCCTGGCATTGTGATGTGTTGGTAAATTAACCTATGTTTATGAGGCATCTCATCCCCACTTCCTTCAAGATAATTTCACTTGATAAACACAATAACTAACCACAATTGAAGTTAAACCAAAATGTTATGGGATATTTTGATCACATTCTGACACTCCCGAGACTGCCAATAATTTTAAACCTTGAATCAGAGGGCAGAGTCAACATTAAGCTGGTCAGAATTAACCTTCGAGTTTTTGGAAGACACAGATTAGGATAGAGAGACACAGGAAGGAAAAGGAAGGGACTTAGAAAGATTGGTGGCCTTTTTGATCCGGGAAGGTGGAGAGGAAAGGTCAGCTGATCTCTTCTCTGTTGCTCTGTGGATCTATCAGGTATATACCCCAATATCTGACTCTTGAGTTTTATTTAAAGAAAGAACAATAAAAGTAATTGCTTCACTAAATATTTACTTTTTATAATAATACACTCACAGTTATTTTCTGTGTGTGGACATTTGGCATGATACATGCCTTAGTGCAATAATAGAGATATTTTTGTGTGTTGTGTATATGTATTATATTATAAAGTATTTGAAAGACATATATATAATATTTGAAAACCATATATATATACATACATATATATATACATATATATATATATATATTTTAATAAAAGGACAAAATATAGTTGCCTCACTAAACTTTTACTTTTTATAATAATACACTCAGTTATTTTCTGTGTGTGGACATTTGGCATGATACATGCCTTAGAGCAATAATAGAGATATTTTGGTGTGCTGTGTATTGTGTATATGTATTTTATTATAAAGGATTTGAAAGACAGATACATGATATTTGAAAACCATATATGTATGATATACATATAAAGGATTTGAAAGACAGGAAAAATATCTCAAATAAAACCATAAAATTTGCTGGGTGGTGGTGGCACACGCCTTTAATCCCAGCACTCGGGAGGCAGAGGCAGGCATATTTCTGTGAATTTGAGGCCAGCCTGGTCTACAAAGTGAGTCCCAGGAAAAGCACAACACAACACCAAGAAGCCCTGTCTCGAACAACCAAAAAAAAAATGAAAAATAGCAAATCAATGGTTTAGGAAAGATTTATTTTTCCAGGAAAAATATTCTTGTGTTCTACATCCTAAAAACATAAACAAGAAAACAATGTATTTCCTTGGCTTGCTAGAATTTAGGAAAATCATAGACAAATCTATAGCAGGAGACTTCTTTGGCTGTTATGTACAGATTTTGCATTGTATAGTTTGCCAAGTGCAATTCATTTTCCTATATGTTGTTGGCATTCTTTTTTTTATTTTTCAAATGTGCGCTTTTATAGGCTGTCATAAACTCTGAAAGAAACAGACACCTTTGCATTCCATAATCCAGCCAATCAGGCAAAATATTATTCACAATACCAACTCATTTTTCTACCTATAGCCTTTTGTTTTCATAACTCACTCAAGCAAGTTTGATGCAATACCTGGTCATTCTGAATCTGTTTATGGAGCCACAAAATTATTTTAACTCTTACATTGTCTAAGACACAAGGAGGCAACTATATCTTGCAATGCATGAAAATCATGAGTATAACAACAAATCAGAAAGTCTCATAATGATTTGGATATCAACATAAAAACTAGTAGACTTTTCATATTCAGAAAAAAATTGCCATCAACAATGAATAATTCTGACTTCATTTTGCCTGTCAGTTTGCAAAATTTCCAATTAAACTCCCAAACATGTCTTTAAACTTTCTGGCAATGGTGAGACTGAATTGTGCAACTTACTTCTGGAGCCTGAAGAGTTCCTTGCTACCATGAAGGAGTCAGCACTCGGCCTGGCTACTGCAGAAAACCGACAGGGTGAACGCATCTCCAAAGCTGGGGCTGAGAACAGTGTCTGAGGGAAGGGCCGTCAGCTACTACATCTCTCCTCAACACCTGGCTGAATGGATACAGGGACTCTTCAGAGGAGGCAAACAGAACAAAGAAAAGACATCAAAAATGCTTTTAAAGTATCTGGATTTTTTTTCCTGATAATTGCATGCTCAATCACAACTCATATTAGGAAGTTCACTAATTAGAATTCAAATATATTTGCATAAAAAGCTTTCCAATGGAAATGTGCAATATGTTCTCATTCCAATAAATATGTCAACACTCTGCCTTTAGTTTTGGAAGGTATGTTATTCTGTCAGAACTCTAGGTAGCTTAAATTATTGTATCCCACATAATATTCTTTATCTTTGAATTAGTTCATTTTGTTGCATAACTCACACATCTTTAATTATGGCCTGCTAGGTCCCAGGTAAATGCACACACATTACATTAGATATAGCAAGGAACAAATCTAACATATCCCTGTCTGGTCTTCAAGAACACCAGACTTTGTTTATATTAACTGTATTTTATTTCAAGGCAAAAATCAATACATTGCAATATATGCATGTCTGGGGAAAAGGATGTAACATACATCGAATTGTTAACGTTTATATTTGCATTTTTAAAGTGTCTGATGTGCAACAATTGCTTCTCTTTCCAGGGGTTTAACTGTCACCCTATGTGAGATGCAACGTTTAAATTTTTCTCATCTAAGAGCTGTTATAAAAGTTCTAGCTAATATTCCAACCTAACATTTTGAAAGCCGAGCTATTAATTTTTAAAATATCTTTAAAATTACTAAAAGAATTTAATTTTACTTAGACTGTAATAAATATCCTCAGAAGCATAAACACCAATTATTTTCAAAATATGACAATAAATAATGAATGTAAGATGAAACAAATATGATTTAACTTTACTTATATGACACTTTTTATAAAGCCAATATTAAAGATTTGATGAATGGAATAATTTTTAAGTTTTCTGTTTTGAATTTGTTTGAGTCAGGGCCCTGCTATATAGCCCAGGCTGGCTGTAAAACCTCAGTCCTCCCACTTCAGCCTCCTTGGTCCTGGAATTGTAAACAAGTTTCACCAGGCCTAAATATAAATCTAAACTTAAGAGAGTGATTCCTCTCTTTTAAAATTGGTACTGAAATGGCCCGCACAGTGTGTCTGCATGTACAAGACCATCCCAAGATAAAGCTAGATAATTTTAGAATGGACAGAGTCGGGGATTATGAAGTCCCACCCTTATCTGAGGAGTTTTAGACATTGATGACTTCTGGGTAAAAGAAAGTCAATATTCTTCAGCAATTCGGCCCCTAAGAGGCTAGCCAGAATCCAGGAGATGATCCTACAGCCTTGGACATATAGGCAAAATGAAGTGGACATGTGTTTACAAAATGAGCACATGAAGATGTAAGAATATACCATGATATAATAGGGAAGAGGTTGGAGGGATGGAATCAGGGCTGGATATGATTACAATATCCTATGTGCATTCATGGACATAATGGGAAAAGTTATGAAAACACTGAAACTCTCTAAGATAAACTAGTGAATGGGAGGATGTACATGTTGTTGATGGACTGTCATAGCATTACCATTGTTCTTCAGGTTACAAACAATACAAGATCAATAACAATTCCCATCTAGAGCAGGATTTTGAATACTGAAATTTTCTATTATAATACTGAAATCTTCAGAAAAAACTCAAAATAAAAACATGTTTTACTATACAATTGCATAAAGATATATAAAGTATATTTTTAATATTTTATGAATCCTTAGATGAATTCTATATCTTTTAACATTAATATAATAAAATATAAAGTTTTATGGAGTTATGTAATAGATAGGATGTATCACATATATAACTGCAAGCCAATTATATCCCAACAACTGTGTTTATTCACTTGTTAGTTTCCATAGATGTTTTAAACTAATTTTATATTCATATATGCTTGATTGATTAAAAAAATAATTAAAGGAACTTAAAAAGTGAATCTCCTTTCCCATGGGAGACCTTGCCTTCGAGGAAGTGGGAATCGGGGTGGTTTCGGGGGAAAGTCCAGGGGGCAGGAAGAGGCAGGAGAGGGGAATCTGTGGCTGGTATGTAAAATGAATAGAAAAATCTCTTAATAATAATAGTAAAAAGAAAAAAATTAAAAAGTGAGTCTCCCTCCAAAGCAAAACATCCTGCTCAGGGTATGTAGATTCTTATATACACAGATCATTTCTTCACCCAATTTTGCCTGCTCCTCTCATTTAATATATCTTAGAGAACACTAATACATTTTGTTTTGTGTAGACAACCTAATATTTCATTAAAGTAAATAAATCAGTTGACAAAAATATAACTGTTTAAAAGTACTCAGGCTTACTGGATTTTTGTCATAGAAATGATATACTTAGTTCTGTGGCCATGCACTTCATACATGTTGTGAATGCATACATAAGTCCCAGAAATAAAATGGCATAGATTGACTTTGTCCCTGAAGTCCTGACCATGGTTCTGCCTCTTTGGTAAAGATATGGAATACAATAAAATGAAATTTGATGTCTGTTATTGTATCTCATACCATTTCAGAGTTACAACATATAAATGCTCCAGAATGTTATCCAGGAATTACCTAAGGTCAGCAGGATTCTATTTTCTCAAAGCATGTACCACACCAGAAATGTCATACTCCTTACCCAAACTCTAGTTCTTCAGGTAAAGATCCATTTATGTATGATATGTATTTTCTTTCTTTTAATAAATTTTATTAAGAATTTACTATGTGCCACAGATCATAAAATATATGTTACCTCATGTTTCCAAAATTCACTCCAAGAACCACATTAGGTGATTGCATGTTCTTTTATGACTGCTCTATAAAGTAAAAACAGAAAATCAAGCAAACCTCAGGGAAGGTCACACAGTAAGTACCTAATGAATCAAGCCTGTCATGGAGGACCAGTTTCCTCCACAAAATGTCTTGTACAGCACGCTGTAAATAAGATTCCATTAGATCACTAAAGGTTGTGGTTTAGTTTGGATATATGCCCTACAGAGTTCTGTGTTTTAAAGATTAAGTGCCCAGGTTTGTACTCCTGGAAACTGCCGAGGACTACCAAGAGATGGGGACTGGAATGAGTTCATTCAGTTATTGGCACATGCTAATGGTGTCTCCCCTGCATATCTCTCTCTCTCTCTCTCTCTCTCTCTCTCTCTCTCTCTCTCTCTCTCTTCCACTTTCCTTCCTTCCTAAAGATATGACTGCTCAATCAATTTTACACATATATCTTCCAATCTCATCATTGGATTACATATTTTATGTGCACTGTGCATGTGCATGTGCCCATGAAGGTAGAAGGTTAGATCCCTTGGAAATTGAATTACAGAAAGTTATTAACCACCTGATGTGAGTGCCAGAAAGTAAACCCAGGTCCTCTAGAAGAGCAGTAAGTATTCTTCACTGATGAGTCATCTTCTCACCTCCAGAATGTGACTTTTAAAGATATTATCTTTAATAATAAGTCAGTAGCCTCAGGCATTTCTGTCATAACACAAAGCTCACGTAGATTCTACAGTAACATTCACATATACAGATCAGTGCAGTAGTAAAAGAAAGCAATTGAGTTTGTGGTTATGATACTGTCACTTTCCTACATTATCATGTAAAGTTTTTCTTTATTCCTTGAGAGTACATTGAAATTAAATGTCGTATAATGAATTCTGATACCTAGTTTTAATTCCAAGTTGCTGTTGCTGTGGCTGTCTCACAGTCATACAAAATTTGACACCTATTATATTCATGTATTCTCAAGAAGTATGGTTCCCCACATAACAATTTTCTTGAACAATGATAAAATCTCTAAGAACTCAGAGAACTTGTGAAACACATTAGAAGTTAATAGGATACATAGTTCTGAGATGAGCATCCATACTTACTTAAAGAGCCTAAAACATCATCACTAAGTGATCATCAGTTCTCTGAAAATACAAACTGACTTAGATCGCATTATTAGTGATGGTAAGATTCTAAAACCAGATTTACCCTGAAATAATGGGTAAAACTACAATAGTCACTCTGCATTTACACTATTTTTTTTACTTTTTCATTTAATAAAAAAGTTTTTACACAGCCCCTCTTATCTTCTCATATTTACAGTCTCCTCTTTAATCATTGCTGTTATAAATACATACAAATGTTTAATTATTTCAAGTTATCATAGACATGAAACTGTGCCATGCAGAGTGCATAATAATTTTCTTTCCTTTCTTAAGATTATGTAACTTTAACATATTAACAACCAAAGAGGTTTTTGGAATCTATAAGGACAACAATGATATACTCTTTACTATCCACTTCCCGTAAATTCACAAAATTTGAGTATTCATGAGCCCAGCACATAGTATATCTATCTTATAATTGACATGGAACTAATTTATCTATGCCAATTGCAAAGCTAACTATAATCATCTTAATTAAAAAGTAAGCATTTACTTATCTGGGTGTTTATTCTACATGTTGCACAAAGCCAACTTTTAAAATATATGAGCAATCAAGTCTCATCCTTTCACTCTCTTTCAATTGTTTACTTAAAAATCATAAAAGTATAGCTTTCATATAGCCATTATCTTTAGTAGACTATTCAAAACACAAGATTAATTGTACCAGATATAATGGCCTATGTTTATAATCCAAGCACTTGAAGAGAGGGTAAAATAAATGTGTTTGTGTGTGTTTACAGCCAGTATGTACGAAATAGCCTTCATTCAGTCATCAGTACAGCAAATCTGTGTGTCAGATAAGAGAAATGAAGATAACCTAAAATAATTCAAACCACAGACAAAATAACATTGATAATTATTTCATGTGAATTAGTTTCTCCAGCCAAAAATGATCATAAAGATTTGCATAAACACTATTATTAAAACATAGTTTCTCGGCATGAACACTGTTAAGCCTAGGTACTTTTAAAATTAAATTAGAGACACTGATTAAAAATGGAAATAATCTTGTGTCAGTGGATAAAAACAGCACAAACTATTTGCTGTAGGAAAATGTTTACAAATAATAGCCCACTTCCAA